TTTGGATTGTACTGGGCAATGAGTTCATTAACTTTGGGACTTTTGTATTGGCGTGCTTTGATTCTTGTTGAAAACAATGAACTAGACATGAGCGATGTTGTTATGTAACTAGAACAATAATTTTGATAATCTGTAAATTAAGTTTTATTATTTTTATAGGATTTCTGCTTTTGGAATGTTCGCATTAGAAGCACTAAAAGTTGTTGGATTCTTGTAAGATATAGAATTTATGTTTTGTTTTCGTTTTTATTATTTTCCTTTCAGTGCAAGACGCATGGGTGCATCATTAGCTGCTGCTCACGCATTTTTTGATCTATTTGATCGAATACCAGCTATTGATAATGGATCGAATAAAGGACAAGAATTAGTAAAAGAAAAAAACGAAAACTATTGTCTTTCAATTGTATATTTTAATCTTGCATTGTTTAGACTAGTTTTAGTGGAGAAACAGACTTTAATCAAGTTAAATTTGTTTATCCGAGTCGTCCAACAGTTCTTGTTCTTAATAAACTTCAATTATCTATTAAATCAGGTCAACGTATAGCTCTTGTTGGTATGTGCAAAATAAATTATATTTCCTAGTTTATTAATCATATAATATAATCGATTTAGGTGCATCTGGATGTGGAAAATCAACCATAGTTCAATTATTAGAACGATTTTATGATGTTACACATGGACAATTGGTAAGTATCTCTTCGCTATATATAATTCAAATACTTATATAAACGATATTCATATAAATAAGCTTCTTGATGGTGTTGATATTCGAAAATTAAATATTCAATGGTTACGTTCTCGTTTGGGTGTTGTTAGTCAAGAACCAGTTTTATTTGATTTAACAATTGCTGAAAATATATCATATGGATTAGAAAATATACCGATGGATGAGATTATTCTTGCTGCCAGGAAAGCTAATATTCATCAATTTATTCAACAATTACCTCAAGTTCGATTAATATTTAATTATTTAATAATATAATCTAATATTGCTATAGGGTTATGAGACAAAAGTTGGAGTAAAAGGTAGTTTTTTATCAGGCGGTGAAAAACAACGTATTGCTATTGCTCGAGTTCTTATTCGTCGACCTAAAATACTGCTATTAGATGAAGCTACAAGTGCTATGGATCCATACAATGAACATGTAAGTTTATATTCTTTTCTATATATCATTAAAATTTAAAATTTAACATTTTTTTGATAATTAAAGGTAGTACAAGTAACTCTTGATCAAGCTCAAACAGAAGATCCTAGTCGAACATCAATTATTATTGCACATCGTCTTTCAACAATACGCTCATGTGATTTAATACATGTACTAGAAATGGGTCGTATAGTAGAAAGTGGTACTCATACAGAACTAATACAAAAAGGTGGAATTTATTATACAATGTTAAATGCTCAAAACAACGTACAATAATTACTATTCAACTATTTCATTAACAAACAAATAAATATTTTTACATTTATAGTTATGAAAATGTTTTTACTAATTATTTTTTTAAATATATCTAAAATTAGCGTTAAATCTAATATTCAAAAAAAAATATCAAAAATTAAATCTAAGGGTGGATGTGGGTGTGAATGTCGATTGATTCTTTCCTTTCTCACACCATACTAACACCTACACACCCACGTTTAAATAAAGATAGATTTTGTTATGGCAATAAGCGTTAGAAACATTGTAGTCGAATGAATATTCAATTGGCCACTGTTGGCATTTTCATATAGTAAGTCTCACTTATCAGCATCAGTTGAATGTGTTGAGTTCCTTGATTTTTACGATGGTATAAATCTAAGTTATTACTGTGTGTTGAATTCCTTGGATTTCATTAGTTTTCCTTAAAGAGGCATATTTTGGATAGTAGATACTGGTGCTGCAGAACCAATCAAATCATTAATTATTGATTTGTTCTTCAGCTAAAACGTCTTCAATTTCTATAGATTCATCTGGACAATGATTATTATTGTATTCAAAATATGGTTTAAATGGAAGAACAAAACTTACAACTAAACAGCCAGTTTTAGGTATTAAATGATTACGAATTTGTTTTAGTAATGATAAAAGATTTTCAGATCAATCCAAAACATTTTAACAAGTTATAATATCAAATGTGAAATCTCGCCAATGATCTGTATCAAGTACTGTATAACCAGAAGTTGACAAGTGTCATTACATTATTGAAGATAATTCAGTAACATAAACTTTTTTAAATACACTTGACAATCGTTCAGCTATCGAACGCAGCACTAATATCAAGAAGAGTAGTAAATTGAGATTCTTCGTGAGAATCTATGTCTAATAAAGTTTTAAATCGAGGTATACAGTTTATACAAAACATACGTCTAGGATTTAATAAACCATTAGCTGAAGTAATGTAAAGAAGAAAAGAAATTAGTTCGATAATATATCAAAGTTTTTTATTTGATCAAACCTGATGTTTGTGTAATAAATAGTGTAAGTAATGAAGTAAGTAAACTATTAATAATTTGTATAGGAGCATTATCAGATTTTTCTTCGCTTTGTTTAAGAAATTTTGTCGTATCTTCATCTTCATTAAGTTCATAAAAACGTTCTCGATATTCATCATGTAAAAGATCATTACGTGATAAACGATCCCATTTATTTCGATCGATATTTTTTAAACATCGATTATTTGCAATCTTATTTAGAACAGCTTTTGCCCATGTTGAACGAACAGATGAGTAAGATGATTGTTGACAATAAGAATAATTTTTATTTTATGACTAATAGAATTCATGGAAAAAAACATATAATTATTAAATAGAAAATAAAAATAAGATTATTTTGTTTAATTATTTCGCACATATTTTAATGCATCATCTAAATGTGTCATTTCTTCACTTAGTTTCGAAAGACGTTTAGCAGCTTGTTGATCAAGTGATGCTTTTGATGATGAACATTCTTTACACTCCCTATATATTTCCATTATAATAGAAGAAAAAAAATAAGAAATAGGAAAAATCTAAGTGAATAATTTACTTAAAATATTTTCCTGTCACATAATTCAAACGACGATCTGATGCTAGGTAAATAGATGTTTGAGCACCTTGTTCAGGACTTTTAATTAAACAATACCATATAGGTGTTAAAAGAAGAATTAATGTATTTAATATTATTTGATAATGACCTAATATGTTTCGAATGACTTCAGTTCGAATAACACCTAGAAAATATCTTTCTGATGAAAGAATTTGTCTTAAAAAATTTATTTACCAGGATGAAGACTATTTGCAGTAATATTTGTATTTGAAATTTAATATAAAAACAAATATATTTATATTACAACAAAAATCAAACCAACTTTGTAATCGTCGTGATAATTCATTCGTAAATAAAATATTTGCTAATTTACTATGTGAATAAGCATTGAATTTCCAATAGGGTTTTGTAAAATTAATATCATCCCAATTTATTGTTATATTTAAAACTATATTTATAAAAAGAAAAAATATTTACAAGCATGACTTATAGATGATACATTAATAATTCGAGCTGATAGAGCATTTTCCATTAAATCTAAGAGAAGATTTGTTAATAGAAAATGACCAAGATGATTAACAGCAAAATTAATTTCATAACCATCAACAGATTTTTCTGATGTCATCATTACTCCTGAACATAGACACAAGTTCATCATAGAAATTAATATTGAATATTTATTTACCAGCATTATTTATTAGAACATCTAATTTTGGTAATCTTCCACGAAGACGTTTAGCACATTTTTGAATTGATTTTAATGAAGCGAGATCAACAATTTCAATTTCTACATTATTACTTCCTGATAGTTTACATATTTCTTTTAATGCTTCTTCTGTCCGTTTTCGATCACGACAAGCTAAAATTACATGAGCACCTATAAAATAAAATAGAAAAATATCTTTTTCCAAATTATCACAAATATTGTTTACTTCGCTTTGCTAATTCCATAGCTGTATATTTTTCCACTCCAGAATTACTTTCTGTAATCATAATAGTTTTATACCATCCATTCGTCTCTCGGAAGTGGTATAAGAAAGATTTATTCTCCGTTATGAGATGCATGTAGGTATCGGACATACTTAATCCAAACTCGACTCTCCATACTTTTCAAACAAAAATAAGTGATTTCGTTTTTTCTTTTTTTTTTTTCTTTCTCTCTTCAATTCTTTTACTATTCTTCACTACCTTTCATCCTCATCTTATCTGACATCATTATATTTCACATTTTGTCGTACGCTTGTCTCGGCCCATCGCTTTTTCTTTTATAAGTGATTTTTATTTCGTGTACAATTTTACTTTTACAACGATAGGAAGTGACTCTGAATCAAGAAACGACATGTATCAATACGTGTGAAGTAGGGACCTGCACGATACATGACATACTTATTTCACGCTCGACTGTTTATTAATTTTAAACAAAAAAGAATCCATTTTCCAGTTTCTTTTCCTTTATTCTTGTGGGTGTGTGGGATCTGGACGACTGCAGTTGTTATCATCTATACCTGTGTGTGTATGATAGATATGATGCACCCACACTTTCTCCCGCAGTCATATTCTCGTCCAGCGAACATCGACACTCACAGACATCCTTACATATCCCTATTCTTAATATATTTATCTCTACTATTTTAGAGATCAAAATACCGTTTACTGAAATGACCAGAATAATTGTAAACAAAAAACCGAATGACAAACCACGACTTTATTATAAAAAACTACTTTACTTCGTAATAGTTTCGGCTACTATTGGTGCGTTTGCGTTTTCCTTGATTTACAATCATCTTTTCAAATCAGATCTATCATTTTTACTAAAACGCAACATACTTAATGATAACAAAATAACACTTGATTTTTCGGAAAATAACGAATTCCGCAATGGTGACACTGCAACATTCAATTCTTCAAAAAATAACATACCCAATGGTGACACAACAACATTCAATTCTTCGAAAAATAACATACCCAATGGTGACACAGCAACACGAGAATTCTCGAAAAATACTATATTCAGTGCCGAAATAGGAATATCCTATTTACGGCAAAACGAACATCCATATTCTTCCAAATTTCGTTGTACTGGAGCCGAAAACGATATTGAAGCATGGAAAGATCGTCTTTGCGTATTTTACAATACCTGCTATAACAAAGATACTGATCGATTTCATTATTTTCGATTATCTCAAAGTAAAGCAAAACCAATTTTTTATGATTCAGCAAAAGGTATGTTATACGATTTCAATACGCATCGTAAAAGTAATGCGTTTGTGTCACTTTCATCGGGTGGGGATACACCTTGGGCACCAGTTATTTCTCAGGAAACATATCCATCAAAAGACCTCACAAGACTTCATAATTTACATAGTCTAATGACAACTCGCTTTGCTGATGGCAATCTGGGACATGGTCTCTGGGAAGATTTCGGATCTATCTCGTATTCGATGGAACGAATGAATATAGTTGATCGACAATTAGTTATTATGCATTTAAATAAAAGGGAAAATACGAGTTTATTCCGCACATATCAGCAATATGTAATACCTGCATTAACAGAAAATCCTATGGTCGAATTTGAAGTTTATATGAAATCTTTCGATACCAAATATGTATGCTTTGATACTTTAATTGTTGGAGGGCAACTAAGTGTTTTTCCTAAACCACAAATAAAAGAAAATCATGGACGTGAAGCACTTTTCTACAACTGGAGATCCAAAATTATAGAATATAACGGATTGAACCCTAAATTTGTGCCGAAAAAGCATCATATTATCATTACTAATAAATCTCAATCCATATTTACACATCCTGGTTCAAAGAGACATCGGACAATTGTGAACTTGGAAGACGTGGAAAAGTTCGTCAGATATACTTATCCGAACATATCTACTGAAGTGATTGAATGGCACACTATTCCATTTGATAAACAGATTGAGAAGTTGTTACATACGACTATTTTAATTACACCATGTGGTGGTGTGTCATTAATACTACCGATGTTACCGCATGGTGCACATGCAATAGTAATGGATTATTACGTTAATGTACCAGCCCATGGTTTTCTACGTCGTGAAAGTGCGTCAATGGAGGGTGCATTCTTAAATCATATTTCTCATGTTCGAAAGCAATATTATCAGATCTACGGGCGAAAAGATTATAAATTTGATTTTCCAGGTGGTAAGAATGCTCGAGATGATGCATCTATTATTGTAAATATGGCACGTTTACAGTTACTAATAGATAAAGCTTTAGAAGAAATGGAACTTTAGGAAAATTGGTAGATATTGATTCGTATACGGCTACGATATGCTCAATCTTAGAAAATCGTAATGAACTAAGACTTGAATAGATGTATTATATTTTTTAGTATTTTTATTTTCATTATCATTTTTCGATATCATTATAAATATTATACTATTTTATTCTATTTATTTCATCTCATGTTATTTTCTTTCTCGTAAAGAAGAATCCAGTAAACATAAATTGTTTGCTTACTTGCTTGTGTGTCCGCACTCCAGAAATTGATCCAAAAATTAGGTAAAGATATAAAAAAATTTTTTATAAGAGTCGACCGCACAGTTATCAAGATCGAAGAACTCTAATCTGAAGTTGGCTTTTTAAATTGTTTGGATAAATAGTTTACAGGTAGAATGTGAGTGTGGATCCGGTTCTAGGTCTGAGTGAAGAAAAACAGTCAGCCATTCTCGAGAGCCACCCATACACACCCTCAAGTCAAAGACTTGCTCCAGCGTGAGGTTAATTTTTAGTTCTTGTTACATCAACTTAAATATCACTTTGATCATTTATTGTTGTTTATATATTTGTATCTGTTATAAATAATTAATCAAATAGAATTATCTGAATATTAATTAGGTTTTGGATGCATATTGGTATACCATAAATACTCGATGTATTATGTCATTAAATTATTGGATAAGTGAAATGATTAATTAATGATTAAAATTTTTGTAATCGAATTTAAATCAAATCATTTATCTTGATGTATATCAGAAGATTATATTGGTGATGTTTGATACAAATTAATTCCTCGCATAGGGCTTAATAAATGTTGGTGTTGTTTTGAATTGTTATAAATGAATGACTTTGAGAAAAAGTAGATTGTCTTTTATGTGAATTAAAGATTCTCTTTTTATGTTGATGATATACATATGTATGAAAACTTTGTGCAGTCCATGATGATGATGGTGAACATTGTGGTTGTGATGAATGAGTTTTGTTATTGATTTATATGGTCTTCATGTTCTTGAATAAGTATTTATTCTTAAACGAGTTCCAAATATACGTAAACTAGAATCATCTTCATTACTTATTGCAATTTTTGATATACTCATTATTATTACTTCTAGATAAAATACAATATGTATTTCTTGTTTTTTTATACGTTATGAATTCATGTGGATTAGCTAGTACTTCAATATCTCCTGTAAGAAGTTCTTATGTTTATAAAATGAATTCTAGACATGATTTTTTTGTTTTCGTTTTTACTTTGAATGAATCTATTTTTTCTAATTTATCTGTTCTAATACTCTCAGAAGTACCACTTCCTTTCTATAAAAAGAAACAAAAATTAAATAAAAAACTGTAAGTTTGATTTGCTTCTGTAGAAAATCCTTCAACAAGAATAACAACAAGTAAATAAAATAAAACATAATTGTCTAAATGTCATTAATGCAATAAAGTATAAACAAACTTGTAAAGCAAGGTATTTAGTGCCCAAGGAAAAGCAAAGACTATTGATCATTAAAACCGACTAAATGAATATATCATGTTTATTTTCCCTCTCAAAAAATTGGTTCATACAATCGATACCTGAAATACTGTTAAAATAGCAGAAGTTAATGAATCAAAATTCTTTCTTTCTTGTATACAATTAAAATCTTTAATATTGAAATGGTTTTTTTAAAATATCATTTTCAATCAACCAGATTCATAACGTTACAAGAATGAAGAAGATGCCGTTCGTTAAATGTCTAATAGTTACAATAAATATTTTGACATTGATGGCATATCATATTAGTTGAATATGGTTTGATATGAAATATTAAAGATAGAAGAAGTTTCATATAAATCATGAAAGATGACGACATCTAGAGACGGACGAAGATCAGCTGGTCGTTTGTTTGAATTTGACCAACAGCTATAATGATGAAGTTGCATATTACATGTAGATATGCATGTGTGAGCGCTCGTGTTTGAATGTAAATGATGAATCAGTAAATACTTTACTTGCACTGTTTGTTCTTTAAACTCGAAAACAAATAAAATTCTGTGTTTCTATTATGAAAAGATTTTAAAATAATTAGTAAAAGTAACCATTCTACATCATCATCTTCTTCTTATTCTTTATATTGCTGAATCAAATTTCATAACTCCAAAAAGTATGTCCATAAACTAAATTTCTTCTTTCATAATGAATTCAAACATTTATTTATTATTCTAAGTCTCATAAAAAAAAAAGAAAGCATCTTATTTCTTTTTAGATTAATTCGTAGTATGTGGGAAATTATTAAAATAACATAGTAGACAATAGCCTCATCTCGTACATGAATATCTTGGTATATTCGTAAAGTTTAAAAGAATAAAAACTGATTTAATAGATCTGTTATATGCTTTTTCCGGTGGTACTTTAATTCTGTTTCTTAGACATTATTGATACAACGAAGAAGAAAAAAACTTGATTTTTATATTGTTCTTCTTTTCAAATAGAATAATACGAATATGAATGTTGTCCTATCATCATATGTCTATGAGAATATCTAATAAGTATCTATTGAGATGATGAAGAATCAAATTTTGATATGCATAGCTATAAAATGACATCGTGTACATATTACTTTCTATCAAGACAATGGAAAGAAAATACCCTATGGAGATGACCATCTGTCCGTTTAGATTAGTTTTTACTTCGTTTGTTTTCCATCTCATGTCAATATGACGATGAATTCTCATTCGAATCAAACAGTGCGATCGATCAAGTAAGTAGCTTCCGTGAAATTGATGCTGGCAAGAGGTCAAGCACTTCTAACAAACATGTGTTATTCTTCTATCGTTCGTATATAATTACTCATTTTCGCTCTGACTGAACGTATACATTTGTATGATCAGCAAACATAGAGAGAAGAAAAAAGAAGTTAGCTGCCGGCATTCATCAGTAATATGTGACAACGATACGCCAATCGATAGCCATTAGATTATATAAGAGGAAAAAAGAAAGAAGAAGGAGAAAGAGAGCAGTTAGCTCTTCTTACTGTATTATTATTATAGTAGATATTACTGTTTCCTTTTAGTTTCATGATTATGATGGATACAATTGATTTTGAAGAATGTTTAAAAGATTCTCCTGCTTATCGGTATGTTTTATTTTTCTCTTATTTTAAATTAATCCTATAATTTCATAATAAAACAGAAGTCAACTTCGACAAGCAGTCAACCATATCGATATGCTTGAAGATCGTTTAGAACAAATGTTTAAAGCGTGTAATTCAGTCATTAATAGTGGCAAAGTATATATTCAAGAATTTCAGTAAATAATAAAATTTTTTTTATGAAAATTCTTCTATAATTTTGTTTTAGAAAATTTTTAAAATGTATTTTTGATGTACGTGAATTTTTTTCTACTGATGAAATCGCTTATAGAAGTATAGCAAAATTTGGAAATTATTTACATGAAATTCAATCACTCTTTTCTGTAAGAATTTTTGTTTCATTTTAAATCGAAAAAAAAATAAATCAATTTAATTTTTCTAATAGAATTTACTTGAACAAACATCACATAGTATTTTAAGAACATTAACACGTATGTTAAAAGAAGATATAAAAAAAGTTAAAGATCAAGGAAAATTATTTGAACGTTTAAGTTCCGATTATGATCTTGGTAATATTTAAATCTATGAAAATTTATTTCATATACATATTTATTTTTAGCTTTACAAAAAAATGCGGATGCATCAAAAACTAAACGTAAGTAAATACGAATACTAAAATCATTGAATTACCCATAAATAGAACATTCTTAATTGTTTCTTTATTCTAGCTCATATATGTGAAGATGTTAGTAAGATTTTAATTGCAACTCGCAGTTGTTTTGGACATACATCAATAGATTATACATATCAAATTAATGTGTTATTTACTCAACATAAAGTTGAATTAATCGAATTATTTCTATCGTATATTAATTTTCATAAAGCATTTTTTCATCAAGGCTATGAATTATTATCTATTGATACGGAAAGAGATTTTAATTCTATATCAAATCAAGTAAAATTTATTTTTTATATTATATGAATATAATCAACGAATGTTTACTTTTTAGTTAACAAAAATGAAACAAGATAATATTCAAAAACAAAAAATCTTAGAAAAAGTTCATGAAACTAATCAAAAACGAGTAAGTTATTATTTATTTAGTCTTTTATTATGAATTTCATTTGATTCGTTTTTTTGTTTTGATATATTATTTTAAAGTATAAAGGTAATAGTTTTACTTCGTTTAGTCTACACTATGATATATTTACTAATTAAATCAAGATAAAGGGTATTTAATAATTAATGGATTAGAGTTATTCTTTGTTATTGAAAAACACTCTGAACTTACTGCTCAGCTCCTTCCTTACTCACATCTTATTTCGAAATTGAATTGAGAAGAAGAAATACAATGGGTTTCTTTTTTATTTTTAGTATAATCCAGATGATAGTCGAAACGATGGAATAACAACAATTGAACCATCAATATCTTTAGTAAGAGAAAAATAATATGATTTATTAAGAAATTAAAATTTCATTATTATAATTAGTCGAAAGATATTTCATTAAATAATTCATCACAACAAAGTACATTGAATACTTCTAATACATCAATAACTAGAACTGAAATCATAACAGAAGGTAATTGAATAAATATTTAATTCATAGAAAAATTTATTCCCTCTTCTTTTTAGGTTATCTATTTAAACGTTCTCATAATAAATTCAAGACATGGAATAGGTTAGTCTTATTAATATCTACTTTACTTCTTCAAAAATATATAAAAGATTATGTAATAATGATATATGAGAACAGCTGATCCTATGTTGTCTTAGTATCTCAGAACGATCATTGTGAGAGTCAGAATAGTACATATATATCACTAGATTAAATATTACTGTAGTCCATCAATCGATTCGCCGAGTTATTTTCACATTATCAATTGTGATTACGACACTATATTGATAAACAATAGAATGTTCAATAATTTGTGACTAGTACTTTTGAAGTCTTATAACCTTACATGCAATTTATTCAAAGAAATTCTTCGGATAAACAGAATATAATTTTTTTAATTGTTTAGACGTTGGTTTTCAATACAAAATGATCAATTACTCTATATGAAACGTAATAATGGAAATTCTCTAAATGATAGTTCTCAACAACAATTTCCATATTCAATAATGGTACCTGATTTACGTTTATGTACAATTCGTTTACCAAATGATCATGATCGTCGATTTGTTTTTGAAATTATTTCTCCAAATAAGTAATAAAAATTTATTTTTTTAATTTTTCTATTTATTATTTATTATCATTATTCTTTAGTTCACATCTTCTACAAGCTGATTCACAATTTGAATGTGATCAATGGATTAATTCACTACAATTAGCAATAGCAAATTCATTTAAATTATCAAATAATGGAATGGCAACTTCAGTTTCAGTGTGTTTATTAGAAAAATAATAAATTTATCAAAAAAAAATTATTTTGTTATTTTTAGACTTCACCAAAATCATTATTGAGTAATCGTTCAAATACACTTTTAACTGCAAAAATTGAATTAAAACATAAAATGTAAGAAAAATTCATGTTTTTGAAAAAGATTCTAACAGATTTTTTATTTTTAGGATTAAAGAAAAAATTGAATATGTACGTTCATTACCAGGCAATGATAAATGTTGTGATTGTGATGCTGATGGACCAGAATGGGCATCGATTAATTTAGGAATTTTACTTTGCTTAAATTGTTGTGGTGCTCATCGGTTTGTCCAAATTAGTTTTCTTAGATAATTTAATAACAGATCTTTTGTTTTCAGTGGTCTTGGTGTTAGTCTTTCAAAAGTTCGTTCACTTCATATGGATATATGGGATTTAGAAACATTACTTGTTATGTCTGAATTGGGTAATACTAATGTCAATAGTATTTATGAAGCACAAATATCAAATGATATAAAAAAACCGAATGCTGAAACAGATCCGTAAGAAGAATTAAATGAATATTTTTGCTAATTGGATAGAAGAAATTCCGCTCTGTGTATAATCTATTTGATATTTTCATTCTCGGACTTCAATGGATATAGCATAAGTCTAAGTTTTAAAGAATCATCTCATCGACTTCATCAGATACTTTTAAGTATAGAATATTCTATCTATTTCTAAAACGATATTTTCATGTCGATCTTTTATTTTTGACTAAAAAACTCATCAGATCTAAAATTTTCGGATTTCATATTAGATGAAGGAAAAGTTAGTTATTCCAAGTTTCATATAGTTCAACTAATGTCTTGACTTCTTTGGTCTTTATCAAAAAAAGAATTACCTCTATTCTTGAAAATCCTAATATTACGATTATTTTTTAGTACAAAACGTCGAAGTTATATAGAAGCAAAGTATGTTCAAAAAGTATTTTTACGTCCATTACCTGCACCGAATCAAATGCGACCAGCAACACGTAATATCAAACGATGGTCTGTTATGAAAAATGCATCATTATCCACTAGTTTTGGAACGGATATCGATGATGATAATACATTGCATTCATTAAAATCTTATAATCGACAATTATTATTTAGGTGTGTTCTTTTTCTCTCTTCATATAATTAAATTTTTATCACGATTATATTTTAGAAAACCAATTATACCATCTGATACTGGTATTGGAACAGGTAAGAATAAAAACAAACTTTGATTTATTTTGCCATGTTTACAATTTTCTAAAGATAATTCACCAGCTATATGGAATATGAATATATATTTATATGAAGCAGCTCGTCATCGAAATATTCCAATGATGTTACATGCATTTACACTTGGTGCTGATAAAAATTTTTTCAATGAACATGATCATGGACGAACACCATTGATTCAAGCAGTATTAAGTGTATGTTTCATTTAACTTCTTTAGTTTCTGAAATCAATCATCTTGTTGAATTGAGTTAATCTTTTAAATTTTCTTTTTGTATACTATAGAGATCAGTAGCAGCTGCCGAATTTCTTCTTACCAATAATGCAAAAGTTAATTTACCTGATCAAGATGGTAGAACACCACTTCATTATGCAACACAATTAGCAAGCAAAGGACGAGGGTATATATTTTCATTAGTTTTCTTATTAATTTATTTCGAATTCTAGACCAATTATTCTTTTACTTAAACGTGGTGCTGATCCATTATTAAAAGATAATCATGGTATTGATGCATGCTCACTTTCAATGAATCTTGCTGATCCTGATGTAATAACATGGTATCGTTTAATAGCCTTACATGAACAAATGAAAGAAGAAGATGCCGAAGCCGAAAAAACTTATATATCAATATTAGATGATCCTGTTTATATGAAAGAAATAGCAAGGACACCATCGTTTTCATAATAACAAAAAACAAATTTTCTTCATTTCTTTTTTGTCGTATTGTTTTATCTGTGATATATTTAGTGAGTTTGTTTGTATATTTTTTATTTCATAATAAGTATAAAATATAAACTTGCATCTATATATACATCTATTAAGATTTAATTCTCGTTTTTTTTGTTTTTGTCCCTGTATGTGTGTTTTGCTTTGTATCTTTTTTTATCTTTGAAAAAAAAAAATTAATAAAATTATTTATTTACCGGTTATTCATTCTTTTATTATGATATCAAAGTAAATGATGGAAAAGAATGAGTTCTTAGAATTATAGTTTGAATATGATGTCGTACTATTATCAAAATTTAAAAGAAAAGACAGATGGGTGAAAAGCTTATAACTTGCGCTTTTCACTATTTGATAGAAGACAGTCGGGGATACAAGCCTATGTGTAGGAAATGTTTTCCCAAAGTACTGTCCCAGGCTAGTATCAGTAAAAGAAATGAGGAGAAAATTGTTTTTCGCTGATTTTGTAGCTCAAAGTGTTCTTTTCAAAATAGTATCTAAATTTATAAAGCTATTCTGAAAAAGTACTTTCAGAAACCAGTTTCACACATCGACATTTTCTCCTGACTGTCTTTTAATGAATAATGAAAATCGTATGTTGTTATGGCTTTCCATTCAAAACTTATAAGCGTTTCTTTCGGCTGCCTGTTTTTAAAATTTCGGTAGTAGTAATTAGGAGACATAAGACTGAAATTTTATTTAACTTCTAATTGATTTACAGTTGTATGTATATTGGTTAATCTTAGAAGAATTCTATCTCACAATCGTTTGACAACAAACTCGTTCAATAAATTCGATATGTAATAAATCTAGCATATGTTATTAGGTAAAATATTCACAGAGGCATCTCTTTATATATAACACACTGTTGTAAAATTGAATGTGCATAGAATGTAACTTCATTTCAAACAACTAAAATCTCACGTAGGAAAAACACATTCTCTCATATTTTCAAAGGATTGAAGATTTTTATTTGTTCAGTCAATTATGCAAGGGTTATAATCAATCAATGCAAATACTAAAGATAAGTGAATGTATTGTTCATGTAACTTTGAATTATAATAAAATATCTAAAAATTGCATCAATTCCCATTTGTCATGGTTTTTAGTGAAGGTAACAAGCAAACAGTTTTAAAAAAATATTTTTTTATCCTGAAGTCTTCAGAACTGTTAAACAATTAATCATAGTACAAAAGAAAAAAGTTTCATATGATTCATAGTCTGTAACAACAATACAAAACAGAAAAAAATACAATCTCAGATTTCCGAAGTCAAACATAAAGACTTTCTCGGATATTGAATTTTCTTCTAGAAGTTTTTGAAGAACTTATGACTATAAAATCATCAGTAAAAAATGAATTCATTTTTGATTCCAACTAGATATACATTACTGTTTATCGAACAAGAAAAGATAAGTCATTTCACGACAATATATTTTACAAGAATAGAAATTCTTGTATGAATATGCATGAAATTGCACGTAATTACATATCGACGAGACTTTTAATTAAACAATACCTCTGTTTTTTATTCTTGATTTCCATTAAACATTTGTCTTGCCTTGCATAGCTATTTGTCTTCGAAAAAATAAAGAAAGTCATTATGTAATTTCCATAAAAAGAATGCAACACTCGTTTTTAATGATAATAAATTTCTTTCAATGTCATATTATTACTCAAACCAAAAATTATATCTATTGTTTTAAAACGCAAGTAGAACATATTCATTATTAATATTATTTCAGATATGAAACAAATTCATTTTTTTATTTGCTTAAATAATATAATACATAAAGAAAGAAATTCTATTTCTCTTCGTTTCGTCGTGCTGAATTATCACGTAAAGGTACTGATTCAACATCTTTTAGTGAACTTAAACGTTGCCATTCACGATAAGCATGATAACTACGAGTTCTTGGATCAGTAGCAAAACTTGGATCTGAATATTTTGCTATACTAAATAGATAGATAAAAACGAATACGTTTTTTTAAATGAAAATATTCAATTTATTATTACCGCCATTGAAGTGCATGGATTAGAATACCAAATCCAATAAGAAAAGAAATAATACTAAATGGAGCAAAATAAGTATTAATCATTCCATAGTTTGGTGGTGGATTATATGAATGATTTTTAGCACGTTTTCGATCTTGTTCCATTCGTCGACGAAGCATATCAAAAAATGTTTTATCGAACTGTGATGTTCCCCTATTATTAAATTTTATTACATCATTATGAAAATTGAAACACACGCGTTTACTTACCAATCGGAATCAGTTGTACTCGATCGACGTTGATAAGCTCCTCGATTATTAAAATTTGTTTGTCTCCAATCAAACGGAGAACTAGCTGGTTGTTGACGCGCCGAAGAAGGAGCTGAATATCGTCGAGAATGTGATTGATACGAAGGATCTAGAGCTATATTTATAGAAGTATTTTAGAAAAAAGTTTCGATCTTCTTTGATTTCATTACTTTGATCATAGGTAGTACGTGTTGATTGTTTACTAAGGATACTAAAAGCTTCATTGATTTTAACAAATTTATCATGAAGAGATTTATCAGCTGAATTCGAATCAGGATGATACTATGAAAAGAAAAAACAAATCTGAGATACAATGAATCCTTTGATTCCTATAAACATTATTTTAGTATTACTGTTCTCAAATAGAAATCGTAATCTTTTGTATAAGTTTTTCATACTATTTACCTCTTTTGATAATTTAACAAATGCTTTTCTAATTTCTTTTTGTGTTGCTGTTCTTTCTACACCTAACAAATCATAATAATTTCTTGAATTAATATTTGCTGTTTTATATCGACATTTTGTTAATACAAATGATCTTTAAAAGAACAAAACTTTAAATCTTATCTATGTTTTTTTTCTATACAAGAAAAATATTACCGATTTGATTGAAAAGTAGATTTGATAATGTTGCCATATGGATGCAACCGATCAGTACTTTTCGTCCACAAATGTTGTCGAGAATTTCTGAACATGCATATATACAAAATTACGTTCTTCTTCTATGAAATAAATTATACCATTTTCTATCAGCTGATATTATATCCAATAAGATACAAACTATTCTTTTCTGTTTCTTTTCTAGAAACAAGAAAAACACGTCTATTTTCTATTTTTAATTTTCTATTTACAAAAATATATGAAAGTTTTCTTTCCAAAAAAGAAAACATATGATATGTCACTACAATCAATGTCAATAAATGCACCTGAATAGAATATTTTATATTGAAATACAATGACTAACAACATTCTTATTAATTCATGAATAAATTGTGAAAATATTCTTTGTCATTGTTATCAAACAAATATAATCATTTGAACAGATTTTCGAAATATTGTAATAAAGACTTTTTTTTTTATCACATATTAAATCATATATAGAAAGAAAGAGAAAAAAAAACGTTCAGTAGGTGAGACAATCGAACATTTATTAATGTTCGTTATCGACGAGAAGAAACAAGCAGATAGTCGATCGGTCGGTCCCTCAAGCTCTCGTACATTTTCTCTCACTTTCCTCTTCCGTTATTACGCGCCGCGGCGTCGAGCGTTGTTCGTTCTCCTAACATACACACACTTCGTTTGGCTTTTTCTCGTTTTTTTTTTACAAGCTATGACGCTGTTGTTGTTGTGGGCAGAAAAATGCTGTTGTTATTTAGTAGGTGTATTTACAAACTTTTTTTTTCATTCATTCATACGTTCAACTGGAAGGTCCATCCATCAAACAATATTTATGTATATATGTATATCGGTCAAACTCCTCCTTCTTTTTTTCTTTACTATATATCTAAGAAGAAATATATTGATTACGTATATAATTTTAGATCATCATTGTTATAGACATGAATTACTTGGATTTTAATGAGATTGATCATTCTCCGAATATTCCATCAACAAATATACAAACAACGACAACAACAACAACAACACTTGTTAATCAACAAGCAAAAGATTTATCTGATTGGAGGAATATTCAACTCGGTACAACGCCAACAATTTTTGATAGATTTTGGATGCCAACAACAGTGAATCCATGGACAGCACCAAATACACCTATTTATCCATCTCCATATAATCAACAAACAACGTTGGCTTATCCGACTTATCCATCTACGAACTCAAATAATAATAATAATAATCAATCATGGTCAATGCCAACATTTCCAACTAATACATCAATTCCTATGATTAATTTTAATTCTCCACAACAAAATTTTCTTCAGACAGATCTAACAAATGATGTTATAGATTTAACTACAAATAATACAGTGAATTCATCTACACCTATTAGGTTTGTTGAAAGTTTAAATTGGAAAAATTGTTTACTAACAAAAAAAGGAATTCAAATATTTTTAAAAGTCTTTATATTAGTAATGATTATTCATTTCTTTTCATGATAGATTAATGTAATAAAAAAAACTAATATTTACACATTCAGAAAAAGATGAGTCATCGATTTTTTCTCCTATATTTATCTTATGACGTGTATGAGGTATTTTCCATTCCTCTAGAAAAATAGCAAATAAAATTTTCTTCTTTTACGTCAAATTTTATTATCTGGTTAATATTAGAGTAAATACAAACAAATGAATGACATGATTTTACATTATAGAGATTTTATTCCGGTTCAACCACATGCATATACTTATCCTACGCCTCCTATTCATCAATATCCTAATGTAATATTACCAGCATCACCAATACTTCAACCAACTACAATTACCGCTGTTCCACCACAGCCAGTAACTGAAGCTGAATTGATTCTTATACCTGAAATTGATATTGAAGAAATTCTCGGACAAATCGAAGCTGTTATACCTGATATTGATCTTGATGCAGCACGTCGTACAATAACAGCAATGAATCCTATACCTTCAACTAATGATTTAGTAACAAATTTTCTTGATAATGGTTATACAAAGAAATTAAAAAAATCATCCGATCATGATCGACATATGTCATTAAAACGTTCTTGGTCAGATACAATTGATGATATACCGAAATTTTTATCATCTTACTCAGATCCATTAACGTATTTTTTTGATTCAAAACGTAAACAATCAGAATCTTATATAAATCATGCTAAAGCATTTCTTGTACGTGCTTTTCCAACAACAGATAAAAGTATTTTAGAACAAGTTTTACAAGAAGAAAATTATCATTTTTTACCAACTATAAGAAAATTAGAAGCACGTTTTACTATTCGAACAAATGCATTCTTACAACGAACAGCAATCCGAAGATCATTGGATATGCTTGGTATGTTGTTTATATTTAAAAAGTTCTTAACAAAATTTATTATGTTTTCATACAGTTAAATTAAAGTGATTAATTGAGTTGAAAAACAGTGGTAAAGTCAGATTCTTCTAGCTTCGAAATATTTAAATAAATTTTCATATTTTAAAGTCAGGAAAATATCATGTTTGATCGATTGTGCACAATATTCGAATTACTGAAAGAAAAATTCTGAATCTATATCCCTAGACAAGTACTTACGTTGATATGAATGAAACTATAATTTAACAAACTACACGTAACACAGATGTTAAAATTTAGTTGTTCTTCTCATCAGTTTTCGTGCTTTATAGAAATACAATGATATATTGATTTTGCGAATATATTCCTACAAGAATTACTACTATCAGAATTGATAAATGTTTGAATAGAATAGAAAAGTTTTTTTTAAATATATATAAATTTATTACTGAATTTTTTATTAGATCTTTCTACAAGTGGTATTAGTCGAATACCATCTGCGTCATGGTTAATAAAAAATAACAAATTTGCATATGCAATCCCACATACACCATGTGAAGACTTCTATAATGAACTACGTTTTGCTAAAAATGAACTTAGAATTCGACGTAAGAATTTGCTATTTTCTTGAATTTTTAACTAAATCTTATATTATTAGGTTATCTTGGAAAAGTTTCTAAAGATCATGATAAACGTGTAAAAAAAGCTAAAAAAGGCAATGAAACACTTGAATGTGAAATATGTTGTCGAGAAGATTTATTAATTGATGATATGGTTGAATGTACAGTAGGGCATCTATATTGTCGGTAAGTTTAATTCAATGTCAATTGATTGAGATTATTCATATATATTTTATTTTTATTAAGAAATTGTGTACGAACACATGTTGATGTTTCTTTTAAAGAAGGCAAATGTCGATTTGTTTGTGTAGAACATTCATGTCCAGGTGAATATACAAACCGACTTGTCAGTGAACTTTTACCGCCAACTGATATAAATCGATTAAATAGAAGAATACAAGAAGAAAATATTCGCCAAGGTAAGAATATTTTTAATAAAATATTGAAATGAAGTTTAAGATAGTGTCTGAAAGTAGTTTTGCTAAGATACTGATTTTTTATCTTGATCTGAGCAAAGTTTTTAATACAAATATATGATATTCAGTGTTTTATCTAGGTTTTTCCTTTCGAGAGCGTGATAGTGATTTCCGGGAGGGTGAAAACCTAATTTCTGAAGCGCACATACATAGTATAAGCACAAAAATTGCAATTTTCGGGAAGGCAAAATCGTTCTCCGGGAGGGCGCCGCCACTACTACCCTCCCACTAAATAAACCACTGATGTTATTCCTATGTTGTATATAGAAATTAAGCACGAACCTATTTTGACGTCTTAATAAATGCTCAATTTGATAGACTTTTCTTTTAGAAAGCTACGGTTTTACATTAATACTCAACAGTTTCGATATATATATGATCTGAATTCAGTGACAAAGCCAGTAACTTCTTAACGAGGTTATTCAACTTAGTTGTATCCGAGAGAAAGAAAACTTGATATGTAATTCTACGTTTAGTAAAATACAGTTTTGACTCATTTTATAGATAAGTATATACATATATATATTTTCTATTTAGCTGAAATTGATGGTCTCGAATGCTGTCCTTATTGTCCATATGCTGTTATTGTTGATAATCCAGATGATAAAATCTTTCGTTGTTTAAATCCTGAATGTATGAAAGAAACTTGCAGGTAGATTTTAATTCAAATTATTATTAATTTTTTTATTCTTATTTTCTTCGAATATAGACTATGTAAAGAACCTAATCATATTCCATTACGATGTGATGAAGTTGAGAAAGGTGTTGAACTTGAAATGCGTAAATTTATTGAAGAACATGTAACAGAAGCTATGATACGAAAATGTCCTCGATGTACACAAGTATATAATTCATATTTTTATTTTCGTATTTTAATTAAATTATTAAATTCTTTTAGAAATTTTATAAAGTTGAAGGATGTAATAAAATGACATGTTCATCATGTGGATTATATATTTGTTATGTTTGTCGTGAAACAATTAATGGTTATGATCATTTTACAAATAATGAAAGGTAGAATTTTTCTTATATATTAATTTTTTCAATATTTATATTTATTATTTCTACTAGATGTACATTATCAAATCAAAGTGAAAAACTTCATTATGAAGAAATGGTACAAGCATATACAAATGCTAAAAATGAATATCTTCGTCTTCATCCCGAAGCACATGATATGGTACTTCGTTATGATCCAATATCACATCTGTCTAAACCACTAATTTCGTCTACAAGTACTACTTGATTCTACACAATCAATAATCCGTTTCTTCCATTGACATTCCGTTGTTTAAGAAAACAATTTATCGTAAATATCTTTTAGTCATTGGATTTATCTAATTTTTGATAACCGTACAATTTCTTTTTTTCATCTCCGAAAACGAATATGATATGATGCAAGAAAATCAAACACATTTTTGTTCAGCTTTCTTTCGTTTGTTTTCTGATACTTTTCTATATGGTTCGATTATATATGCAAACAACACAAAAAAGAAAACCTTCTTATTCTTGTTTTTCTGTACCTACTCTTTTCGACTGTTTTTTTTTCATTCAAGTCTAAAACTTATAAATATATATACATATATATATATATACATTCAATGAATATGAAGCGTTGGATAGAAAATAAAGACTCAATAGTGATGGAGCAAAAATTTAGTGTTTGGTATATTATGCAGAAAGATTTTATTGAAAATATATTTGAGAATTAATTTTTTGCATTGTCTAATTTTGAGTACTATATTTGTAACGAATATATTTACGGTGGTATTAAAATAATGGTCAAGTTAAGTGAGCGCCAAATTCGAAGTTTACTATCAGGGGGGTCTAGCCCTCGCTCAAAATTCGAAAACCTATTTGTCTGTCTGCCAAAATTTTTAAAGTTCTGCTGTAAACTTGGTTAAAAACTTATTTTTTTGCCAGAAACTCCAATAAAAAAACTTTTTTTCAGGCAAAATTTCTCAGAAAGTGCATAGTTTAAGTATTTTCTACGTTATATGTGCTAGAAAATTATATAACAGCACTTTCTGCCAAATTTTATCCTCTCCCATTTTTGAAAACAATCGGGAATCTTGTTTACGAGTTTCAAGTTTTTGGACAAATTGTAGCTTGTAACTGTGTGCTTCTTTTTCATGAGCATCACCAGTCGACTTAGCACAGTCCAGAGTATCTATTAGATCAATCAAAAACAGATGATTACAATTTTCAGGTAGAGTTTTTCGCGGCAACTTAGACATCCGTAAATTCTAAATTCGGAGTACACTTAACTTGACCTAAAATAATTGATTTGACATTTCTTATACAAAAAATGTTCACAAGAGGCAGATTTTGTTTTCATGTGATCAATCTATTTTCTTTAATTTGTATCTAAAAAAAATCGTGTATCGTTGTTTGTTTTAGTCCTCGCATGTTAATATTAATTTCAGTGAACTGTATAATATAAGAATGTTACTAAAGTAGTTAAGTGAGGTGCAAATATTTGATGTTTCTCATTATCTTGGTGAATGTGAATGGTATTTATATCTCTCAACGGCAATAAAACAACTTTACTGTTGCTATACACGTTTATATATATGTCATTCTCTTATACACATAAAATGCATGCGTATCAAGTTATATTTTATATAAAAATAATCCTTTTTAATACTCAAGATTAGAATTATTTCTAAAAAAAATCAAACTATTTATTCGATTATGTTCGTACTGTTGATCTTTTTTCATTAATAAATTTAAAACCACTTATAATTAATATACTAATTAAAACAAGAAATGAACCAAATAATGATAAAAAATTTGATTTCATTGATGCAAAAATATTTTGTAATAGAATAGAAAATAAAATATCACTAGCTTGAACAATTGTAAATATCGATGGATGTTCACGTTTAATTGCTTTTTGTACTAATATTGATGAAATTATTTGTAGTAAACAAACTGATGAAGCACATAAATATTTCCAATTAAAAAAATCTTTTTTTAAAGATTGAATTCTATCGGAAAGAAAATAATATTTGTAAAAACAATAAATAATTGATATACATAAGGATACAAATGCAAATTGTAACATTATTAAACTATGTTTTGTTTTATATTTTACTAATAAATGCTTATTTGATATTATCATTAATGACATTGATATTGAAGCATATAATGCAATTGATAAACCTATTAAACGTTGATCATGATCAGTTGAAGATATTGTTATATTAGAAGTTTTTTCAAATAAAAAATTCGGTTGTGCAACACATATAACACCAACAGTTGTTAATAAACTTGCTAATATTATTGGTATAGATGGTTTTTCACAGTAGATTATTGAAGTTATTATTGCTGTCCAAATAACTTGTGTATAACGTATCGTTGTTAAATCTGGTAATGGTAAATAACGATATCCAATGAAAAAAGCAAGAAAACCAGTTGCTGAACAAAAAACATTAAATATTAAAAATAATATTTCTTGTTTTTCCGATTGTTTATATAGTGAATAATGTTTAATAAATTTCATATAAATAAATAATGAAACAGTTTGAATAAGAAAACGTGGAATTAATGCAGAGAGTAATTCAACTTCTAATTGTTTTGTTATAAATACTGAAATTGTAAAAAGAAATGCTGATAATAATGCATAAAATATTCCCGAGAAACGTTGTACTATTGTTGGAGATAATTCTACCGGACTTGTTTGTTCTGTTAATGGAACGATAATATTTTCTTCATTATCAATTTCCATGAATTTGCTAAAAAAAACGAATATTTCAGTAAAATTAGGTTGAGTAATTAATTTTGGAATAAAATTCAGGTGCTGAGGTCTATGTATACATAGAGCACTGCGAAAGTTTTTTTTCGTCCCGCGCTTCTAAAAGCCTCCAGTTGAGTTCAAGTAATCTGTTATAATGCTTAAATATATTTAGGGTTATATATAAAGTTTCAGACTTTTAACTCCGAAGTTTTGCACATATTCCAAAAAATATCTAAGCATTATGAAAGAATAGCCGAGTGAAAAAACTTTTATAGCGCTCCATGTAAATTGATATTCAATTGAATGATGAATAATAAACAATTATGAACTCGCACTACATTTTTCATTAGTGTTTCATTATAATTACAGTTTATTTATTAATCGTTTTTCAAAAAATAAAATACTATTGAGAGGATACTCAGTATTATTATCTTTTGATTTTTTATAATAAATATCATATGTATAGGATTTTGTTACCTTTTTTTTGGATAATGTCCCTATAAACGATGGCAAAAAATAAAGAAAAGAAAAATGGCGATGATTTTTTCCTCTATTTTGTTGCTGCTTGAATAGCTCTTTAGCGCGAGCACATGGTTATGCAATATTTTTTCTCCCTTTCTGTAAAAAGCTGCCGCTATTTGAGTCTCATACATTCTATTTGTATGTATTTTATTTACACAAAAAACAAATACTACGAAAAAGTATATACAAATAATAAAATTT